TTTGTACTTGGGAAGAAAAATATGCCTATCAAATATATCTTGACATAGTAGACCCTTGCCATAACTATACTTATGAAGTAAGGGAAGGACATTGGCTAAATACCAGACGGTCAGCAGGAAATTATATAACAGTCAATAGATCGATGATAAAAAGAATCTATGACTACATTGCAAATGGAGAACCAAATCTACGACAATTAGAACTTCTAAAAGAAGAAAAAGGAGGAGATGAATTCCTTATCCAGAAACACCAATCCTCTATAATAAAGAAAATAATAATGTTGAAGAAGAAATAGCTTATAACCAAGCTGTTACTAAAAGCTTAAATAATTTGGATAAAGAAAACACAAAGAGACCAGAAACATATGATGAATGGTGTAAAGAAACCTCTAAAGTGGAATGTACTCTTTGTAAAGAATGTCTTTTACCAATCAATATCAAAGAAGAAAGTAGTTATGTAAACGTATCAAATATGATGGAAAAAGCCATCTATCCATATTGTATTGATTGCTACAACAAAGTATATCATCTGACACAATACTGTACAAATGCAATCAAAACCCTCTAGGATCAGAAGAAGACCTAGCAAGAGGAATATGTCAAGAATGCTATACCAAAGAAAAAGGAAATGCTAAAGAAGAACCTCCAAAAGACTACTTCTTCCATGAACCAATGACAACTGAGCAAGAAGTGTTGAATGAAATGCTTTACAATTATCCTTTATGATTTGAGCATATAGAAAAAGCACTCTCCAAAGTAGAAATGGAAAACCAAATACTTCGACAACAAGTAGACCAAGAACATCTTATAAATTTAATAAAGTATGAAGGTCTAAAGAAAATGATCCAAAGAATAGTAGGAGTAATTGATGAATCAGTAGACTCCATCAATGAAAGTATTAGTCAAGACAGGCATATGTATTCATTTGTAGAATACCAATGAGAAGCAAGTGCTATAGTTGAAAGAGCTCGACAAGAATTAAAAGAATTACAAGAATCTAGACTTCCAACAGAACAACAAGCATTTGAAGAAGCAATGCAAAGAGGGCGATCACAAACAAGAAGATCACCAAGAATTACAGTAACAACTATAATCGAAAATAATGATGATATGGAAGTAGAAGAAATCTCCCAAGAAGAATTCCAAAAGAAGATTCCTAGCAGAACAAATTCTGCACCACCATTTCTGAGAATAGAAGATAAACTATTTGGAAAAAGATAATTGTACTACAAAAATAGTACTCATATTATTATTATCATTTATTATTTAAACATATAATTTAATTATATATAGTTTATCAAATATCATTAGTATTAAAATAGTCAAATTATTATTTATTAATTATCAATGTAAACAAAAATGTTTGAGGTGCGTAAAAGGATAAGTAATCCGTAGCCTGAAATGACACGTGACGAAATTAATAATCAAATATTTATATCACACTGGACTGTGATTCATGATAAGACAGAACATGTCATATGAGTAATATTTATTTGATTAATAACATCCTTAAAGGGATAGTACGTGATAGCACTATGCGATGGATGGGGCATAGTAGCACCAAGTCGTCCAAAGATGGCACAATGATAAGACGTCCAGAGTAGACGCACAAATAATAACATTGATAAGACATCTGGGATGCACAAGATTATTACCTAAGAAAGGTATACAAGATTATCATCTTTGAAAGGTATATAAGACCCAAATGATACTTGAGAAAAGTAATTGAGGTCATGATACAAAGAATTCAACAAAGAACATTAACATTAGGATATAAACAAAATTAATAGAGCATTAAAATTTAACAAAGAATATTAGATGCAAAAATTAACAAGACATTAAGATGCATAAATAGTTACAAATATTTACAAACATTAGTAATTAGGATAGATATCATTGGGAAATAGTATCAATGAAAATAGATTTTCATATAGCAGAAAATATCTATTTAAAGACAGAGGAATGACCATGAAGCAACATGGATCAACAGCAAAAAATAATTGAAATATTACAAAAGAATTATAACAAAATATCTTATTACGAAAAGATAGTAACAAGCCTAGAATTTACATTAGAACTTGAAGAAACTGAACAATACCAATCTTACCAAGAAATACTTCAAATATTGATTGAAGAAGAATCAACTTCACAAGAGTTGATAAAAGCAATTAAAGAAATTCAACAAAGTTCTGAAGAAAGATTTGAACAAACTTTAGAATTGGCAAAGAAAATTGCACTCAAGAAAGTAGAAATATATAAAGAATCTGCAAAAGAAATTTATGAATCAATCAACACTCAGTAAAGAAGAAGCAGATAAACAACTAAAATTCACAGAAATAGTACAAAGAAATAACAAGCAAGCAAAGTACTACAAAGATTTAACACTTAATTTACAAACAATCCTACAAAAAGGAAAAGAAAATCAACAACAGTCATACCAAGACTTAATTGATAAAATATCTGGAATAAATAAATTAAAGAAAGAACACGAAATACATCTTATAACAGAGATAAAAGAAAGTTCTGAAAATAGGAAGAACAAATTATAGAACTGGTAAAATACTTCTTTCACCAAGCATTAAAAGTAGATTTTAAAGTGATAAAAGAAATTGATGAACTCTTTGGAAGAAATTAATGAACCCTACCAAGAAAACATTTGAAGAATCAATTGATGAACTTAAAGAAACAGTTTTAGATCAACTAAAGGAAAGAGAATTCTTTGAAGAAAGTATAACATTTGATAGAAATCACTTAGTAGCAAAAGAACATACCTGAAGAGAGTAGAACATAATATATATTCGAAACTTAATCAATCAAAGAAGATCAATTAATACCATAACTAAAGAAGACCGATACAACTATTATACTGAAGCTATAAAACTTAAGTGGACTATAGGATATCAAGATACCACAGACCAAATAGTAAAACAAGTCTCAAAAGCAAAGACATATCACGATTGGTCAAAGATAATTGAAGATAAATTAATTGACAATTACAATTATATTCCAACAGAATATAAGAATAGAAAAATATAATATTACGAGCTAATAAGTCTCACACCAACTCTAGTAGAAATATACAATCCAGAAGAAGTGAATGAACAGAACTTGTAAACACTGTTTTATAGAACAGAAAAACTGTATTCAAAGTCAAAGAATAGGATCCTGTGATAATTGTATAATAACAGAAAGATTCTGCAAGGTAGAACTAAAAGAAAGAAATTCAAGAGAAAAAGAAAAACTTCCAAGAAAGAAATCAGAACCAACATACAGTAACTGTACAATCTGTAACGAATTTAGAAGAGTAAATCAAGTAGAAAAAATCTGTAAAAGTTGCAAGATAACAATTAACAGAAAAG